GCACTTGTTTCTAATAGCTTCTTGTTACTGCTAGTAAGGCACTTGTTACTAGTAGCTTCTTGTTACTACTAGTAAGGCACTTGTTACTACTAGCGTGGCACCTGTTACTACTAGCTTTTGCACAGTATTCCCAATTGGGAGCAACATGACCAACACATTTTCCAATCTACTCACTCCCACAGACAGAATACAGGAAAAGGTCTTTTGTCTGCTTGTCTTGATCACAGGCTCTTCCAAAAAAGTCGACATCATTACCCCCGAAATACCTATTCCCTCATCCTACTTCTATGTAACTGGCCCATTCCCATGAGGCAAAAATGCTCGTAGACATCAGGAAAAAGTATAGAGTCATTCATTCATTCATTCTTTCTTTCTTAAAACCTTCCTTTTCCAATTCCTTTTGCTCTGGTTGTGGCGACCTTTCTGCTTTCTTCTCTACTTGGTCCACCTCCTACTCAACCCACAACGACTGGAACGGGCCAAGCGCCTTCTGCGAGACAGTGCCTTCACCGCCAGGGTCCAAATATCGGAAGACCGCGGCGATCCGCGCCTGGCGTTGGGAAGAGGAGCTGACGACGGGCCATACCGAGAGAAAGCATTTCTTGTCGATGGAGAACACTCCGAAGAACATGCTGCTTTAAGTCCAAGACGTAAGGAAAGGACACAAGTAAGAACTAGTAAGGCAAGAACAAGTAAGAACTAGTAAGGCAAGAACAAGTAAGAACTAGTAATTAGTACATTTTTTCAACTTTTAAACATTCTTTTTTGGATTGGCTTGCGGTTGACTCGTTTTGAAGCCAAGCGAGTGATTGGGCCACCTAACTCGCCGGACCCACCTGCTCATCTGGCCCGGTGAACTTTTGGCCTTGAGGTGAAGTGCCACGCTACTAGTAACAAGTGCCTTACTAGTAGTAACAAGTGCCTTACTAGTAGTAACAAGTGCCTTACTAGTAGTAACAAGTGCCTTACTAGTAGTAACAAGTGCCTTACTAGTAGTAACA